AGTTTTTTCTAATAGAAAACTCATTCATGAGGAAGACACTTTAGATTTAATCGAATCTGACCGGATCGTTTATCCTATACAACAATAATAATAATAATAATAATAATAACGGTAGCTCGTCGAATTCTAATCATCGATAAGTATCAGCTCGTCTGATGGTGTGCTGCAGCCCGCAGGCAACGTTTATTATATACATCGCAACGGGGTCGAAAACCGAACGCGTTTGATGTTAACTAATAATGACGTACCCCAATTTTCGTCGTCATACGTACTATATATTATAATATAAGGTTAACGTTATTGTGTCATACTGTCATAGCGTCAAGTTTGTTTATTATAAACCAATCGCTTTTGTATTATCGAGGAGGACTGCGTGCATAATAATATTGCGTTTATAAATAAAATGTAGAGGTATTCGGTATATTTTCGTTTCACGTGAAATATAATAATTATCGTACGCAACGTGAAAATATAAATAAATAAATAAATAAATAAATAAAAAAATAAAATCCCAGAGGAGAAATTAAAAATGTCGTTGTAATCATTTTGACTTTTACGCCGATATACTTGTACAGTTATACGTAGTTAATTTGATTTGTTAAAACAAAGAGAAAGAATAATTGCAATTAATTCCAAAAAGATTAATTTGAATTTTAGACGTCCAAAAGTCAGTTCGGTCGTGTAATTGTTTAAGTACTCTAAAGTAACTGGTAACGGGATTATCATATATCCAACTCAAAAATCGAATTACTATGCATCAGCTCCTTCTGATTCGATTATATGCAATATTTGTATAGGAGTAATGGTTCGATATTATTTTATTACCCACACTAGTATACTACGTCAAAGTCGTTGTCGGTAATAAAAAAATAAAATAAAATTTTGCGTGTAGCTATAAATATATAGTGTGATTTTACAATAGACATCCGCCAAATATTTTCATATTAACCGAAATAAAATACAATCACATGACTCCTGTATAAAACAGGGTACGATTAATGCATAATACCTATATACTTATATTAATATTTGATAAACGTTTAGTTATTAATTATTATCGGCACTTGTCTATATAGTCACGAAATTAAATCGCGAGTATTTATGTATTACTTACGTAAGCCACGATGCAGGTTTTATTACATTTGATATCCAGGAAGTGGAAATAATAATTCTCAGCCACGAAATCCGTATCAAAGGATAGAGGACCCTTCCCGTAGAGGGTGCTTTTATTAGCCGGAAAGATGTAATCATAAAGTCAAATTCTTGTTAAAGGGCAAAAAAAAACATCCCTTCGTCCTTAACTCCGGATTCGCAGCTACGGTATGTGTGCGACGTGCGCGCGCGCGTGTGTGTGTATGTATATGTGTGCACTGTGCATGTATCATCATATACACCGCGGGCGCATGCATATTATTATTACCATCTCGCTGTCACCCGTCATCCGTCACCGTGATACATGGTGCGCGGAGAAATCGAATTCCACGCGCGCATTATAACGGAACCGGAAAGAACTTAATTTAATAATGAACTCTTTGTGCACAGCCACGACGACGGCCACCGAAGAAAAGAAGCTTAAAGAAATTGCTTTTTGGAACATTTTTTTTCCCGCCAATTCTTACTTTTACCACTAGGGCGTGAGGCGAATCGCGAATTTTTTTTTTTTCCCCAGAACCAATATTCCCGTCACGTATTCATCAGTGATCCGATTTTTTCTCTCCACTATCCCACGCCCAGAAATTGACACTGCAACCGCCTCTGCCGACGACGACGACCTTTTGTCATTAAAACCTTGCGCGTGCCCATTTGCATACTTCTAGAATTATTTAATATATACATACATGATATAGATATAGAAAAGTCGGGTTATTCTATGCTTCGGGCATTTTTATATGTTTCGGTTAAGGTTTATTATTACACTCCACTCATTTTCCGCCCACCATCCAATTAATCCACTATCATTCCAACAACGATAAAAAATAAAATAAAATAAAAACAATACCATGGCGTAGATCGTATTTGGCTAAATCAAATTACCAACTGTAGCGTAGTAAAAAAATTAGTTTATTTATTTATCTGGTAGTATTCCATTCTATTGTAGTAAAACAAAATATCGTAAAAATAATTTAGTATACTGCTCTGTGATTCAATATTTTTAGTTCATTTGATATATTGATGTGTTACAGAACTAACCTTTGCTTCATAGTATTTAAAGTAAAAAAAAAAAAATACGTATGTTTACTGTTTAAAAGTTTAAACCTAAAAATTAGATACTGATCTGCTGTACGAGTATATCAGGCATTGAGTGGATTAGTGTAATGGATGTATTCAATTTTTAATCAATGATATCGGTATATATTATATCATCTTCAACGAAACACGATTGTCAGTTGAGGTCTGTCAGTCTTTATCACTAAGTATATTTCATGACATGCTTTTTGATATTGTTATTAAAGTAATTAATCTAACCGTTGTAATAATATTATATAATATTTATAGCATATGCTCGTATTATTGTTATTATAACTATCAAGTCAATATTGCCATATAAGTAAAACGACGTAAATAGTTTCGGTACATAAAATAAACAATAACTTAAATTTAATTGCAATATTTTTAAAATTTCCTTACGGATAGTAAAATATATAGCATACGTTAATATTTCAAGTATCTATAGAAATATTCATTTTAAGTATTTCTAAACGGCTAAATCGTGTAGTGATGATCTGAAAATTGACCAAAACTTATTTTTATTTAGCAAAGTTTCCCTTTAAAGTAGACCGTTTTACTGAATTTACTAATACTCTGACTCTCTCCCAACGTATTGTTTTAAAACAAACACCGTGACGGATTTCTACCATATACAGTTGTTACCTGGCACTAACTTTAAAACATTGTTTCTTTTATAAAGTATAATGAAAGATTATTACCTAACAGAGAAATATGAGGGGATTTTCCACAGGCGTAAAAAATTGGGCAATTCGCATAAAAAATCACTATTAAAACTATTTAAAAAGTTATTTTTGCAGCTATCCGCTTTCCTATAGTCATTGCTCAGTCATTTGTACATATTCTTATTTGTATCACAGTTGCAGAGTTCTTGCATTGAAAGTCACCCAATAGGTATCACAAATCTTATGAAGTGAAAAATCTTGTTTAAACTGTATATTATACTAAATTAGAAATACAATGAAAAACACGAAATGTTCGTACAGAACACATAACAGTAATGCGCCACAATGTAATATAAGGGTAACAACAATTGTTGTAAGCAAATTGTCACCAATTTAGATTAATATCTCTTTAATAAATAAACAAAATGAAAACAACAAAGAAATAAAAAAAAAAGAATGAATTACCCATGAAATATAACAATCCTGTATTGTGAATAAAAAATAAAATTTGCGTTGTCAAGTAATTTATATTATTTAGGGATATTATTCGTAGATACATTTTAATATCAGTTTTATATTTATACGAAATAAGATTACCTATTACTGTTATTGCCATTAGTAGTGTATCAGAACCGGACGACATTTTCCGATTAATATAATAAAATAATATGTTTTATTCCTAGTTTTTAAGAACATGTATAAATTTATAATTTCTTTATAGTTATACATACATAGTAAATATTTAATTTTATTAATAATTTATATTTTATTATTATATTTAAAAAAAATAAATATTAAATATTTTAATTTTATTATCATTCAATTTACTTTTTAAATATAATGACATATTATAAAAATAACAACTTCTTATACATAATTATAATAAACGGATATTTTTTGACAATATGTAAAATGCTACCTATGTTGGATGCGAAAAAATTCCTATAAATGCAAATTCGAGTTTTCAAAAACCATACTGTAATAAAATATCATTTTCTTTGGGGAACGTGAACTATGTAAATACATACATACATATAAATATATATATATATATATAAATAAAAATAAATATATAAATTCTAAGCAAATTAATCTGTTAGATTTACATAACCTTGAAACATAAGGTTTTTTTATTACAAATTTCGTGTAAATATAAATTGATCAAAATCATGTAAGTACATTAAAATTGGTAAATAATAAATCGCTAAACAAAACGACAAACCGTTCGTTATTATAATAGCTTGGCTACATAATATAATGATTGTTTTCCTTCTGAAGAATACAATACATATAGGTATATATGAAATAGTGTTAAAATTCAATTTATTTTCTAAAACTTAATATCGATAAAATAATAATAAAAAAAAAAAAATATGTAACTTAAAAACTAATACAATAGGTAACCAAAAACCAATATTTTTCTATAAAAAGTAATATGTCATCATATTTATTTGATTTTGATCCGTATTCTTTATACTTCAGTTACGTTTGAGTACTTTTCAATTGTACTTTTCTGGTTAACGTTGTTTACACTCGAGTATTCCGTTTTATTGTACATTACGTTACGAACCTTCTACAATAATTCTTTGCGTTTGTTTATCCGTCTTTATCAACTTCACTGATAGGATATTACTTTTAATCTGATATCGTTCGGTTGTTTCACAAGAATTCACTATTCACTTGTATACCAGATCAACTGTCGTACGAAGCCTCAACTAATGCTATTTTCACAAATAATACATAATTCCAAACCCGATACCGTGTCATTGAATAATGACAATTTAAGAAGCACCAAATATTATAGTTTGTTTTTCGATTTACAAATGTAAAATAATAATATTCGACAGAATGAAGTACAATACTACTTTTATACTTTTATGTGATTACAAATATTATGTTATATATTTTTGTAGCACTATTAAACTACGTATATATTTTCGTTCTAGCGACACTATAACACCCATATTATGGTTGGTACTTGGCAGTCGGGCACCAGTTGACATTTAATTCCCACTCGCGTAGAAATGTATAAGCGAGATATAATATTTTTAATTTAAACAATATAATATTTTGATATATTTTGACATATTTTGTTTGTATTTGTTTTAGTTGTAATGCCCGGAATTTGGCCTCCCGAAGAAGCGGAGGAGCCGATTTTCTTTCCAAATGACAATAGCGTCAAGTCAAACAACGGAGGTAACGAATTACAAAGAGACGAAGTTAAATCGGCCGACCATAAAGAAGAGAGAAACACACCTGTTGGAGGTATTTCAATTTTATTTTAATATTAATGAAAATTCTAAAATTTTACCAAAAACTTTAGCTCACTTTTTCCGTGAGGAACAATACTATAACTATATAAACAACATCAGACATAGAAATATGACTGTATTATTAATACAAGAGCCAAAACTTCATTTCGTGACATCACAATATTGTTGTAGTTTTTTTTTACCAAACACAGAATAGTATGATAAATTTTCTATTTCATTATATCATACATAATACAATTTTCTATCACATTTTGTATTACGGTATTGAGAATAACAACGCATATTACTGTGATACAAATTGATCTCATTTCTATATATTATAGTGCTTAATAATCCATTACCTATTGGATAAGAATAAAGCGTATTAGCGAGAATATAATGTATAATATATTAATATGCTAGAAAAATGGCCGGAGTCACCCGTACTTGTGTGCTCCTGTATATGTGTGTGCGTGTGCGTAAATGTTTAGAAGTCGCCATTAATTGAATTGAATTATTCAGGACATTAAGTATATAATATACCATGGCAGTGGACCGGGAAACTGCACATTTGGAACAGACAATGGTCATCGGATTAATGATCTGGTCTGTAGACAGGATATTTATATATATATATATATATATATAATATAATATGCACTATGAGCACGCGAGTAATCACACTACTGTGCATGTATGTGTGTACATAGTACGCGGGTCTAAATGGCTTTCAATGAGCCGAAACAAGTCGACTAATGAAGTCGCATTTTTATTTTGTCCGAAACATTATGTACAGTGCACATAATGTTTATTACAGTAACAGTATATAATTCTTCGTAGGAGAGAGACGTATTACCTATTGTTTTATATAAATGGGATTTAGCGGATTTGACAGTAGCTTCCCAAAGGCCGCCAAAGTGTGGAGAGCGCGGTGGTATAAAATGCACCACGCACCAAGTGTATTCAAAGTGCTTTGTAGTTTTTCCTGGCGAACTTCCGATAAAAATAATTTTTTTAACTCTTGTAGCTAACGATTCACGCTGACAAAATTGGTGACGTTATCAGAATAAATATCTGTGCATATGCCGCGACGGTCGAATAAACGATTGAGGGCATTCAAAAATGCTTCAGTAGTCAAATTACTTTGCTTTGCATAACACAGAGTTATATATTCTCCCTTATGAAAGTTACATCTACAATGAAGGGGCAGTAACCAAACCTATTGAAATAACAGATGAAATTCGATTTATAAACAATGGGCTAGCATTTCTTTTCTTTGAAATGAAATATGAACTAAATGGGATTCAAATTCAGAAACTGGCTAACCCTAGTATAACTACTTCAATATTAAAAGGATATTGCTTGTATAATCAGATATTGTTTCACACTATAACGCTGCTTGTGACGATGCTATTAAAAATTTTAACTAAGATTTTATCGAGAGCAGTATGTATAATGGATGTATTAATCTCAAAGATTTGTTTGGCGAATACTATAAATGTATTTTAATAAACTGCAATCAACAACTGATATTAAATAGGGTGTCGTTAGATATAAATGCGGTTAATTAGTATAAAAATAAGTTGTTGTAGATGCATTTAAACTAAAATATGTTAAAATAAATACCACTAAAATATCGTAGAGAATGCCTATAATTAGGTTAGTGATAAAGAAAAAAAATACAATTATTGGAAGTAGTAAACCAACAGAAACCTCTAAAATGTGCATTTAGATCGTGAGAGTTGTGTAAATACCCATTTCTACCTTAAAACACATCACATTTGTAAGTAAAAACATCTAACTGATTAGGAAAACCTCGATATTCTATAATCGGATTTCAGACTGATATGAAAAACAGTATTTGTAAAGCAGTTTCATGTTTTTCTCATTGTAAAATCAAAAACTTGAAAGTTTATTTAAATTCTAAAATATTACCCTACGAAGATTTTCAAAGCGACTTTAATAAGAACAAGATGGCTACATTATACCACGCATATACCGAGTTCCAGAAATCCTACTATGGTCGTGATAATGTTACTTCTCTATTGACTCGATCAGATTTCAAAAAACTATCGCCGATAATAGTTGTTGATATGGCTATATGAGCATACAGGACGGTAATGTAAAAACGTCAACTGTTGATCCAAGGAATGGGATTGAGACCGAAGAAGTGTTTCAGCCTCCACTTCGGCATATTGCTTAATATTACATGACCAAATTATAACTTATAATCCATTTAATGACGAAGTAAGAACAATGTAAATATTTATTGTAAAACTTAATATTATTTCAATGAATAAAAAATAATTTTTATATAGGTATATCATATCTTTATTTCATATAAGTTATTAATACAATTGTACTTCGAAGAGTGAATACCACACGATATGACGAATGGGATAGGGAGGGGGGCACATCCGAGCACGTAAATGAAGACATTGATGGGAGGGGAGGGGCCGGGCCGAGCATAGGTGATAGCATAGAGATAAGCTAGCCAGGGTAGCCGAATTTACCAGTTATACGGGAGATCCAGAACATACTAAAACATACTACTGACGTGGATCGGCGGTGCTTGTTGGGTTCACCGGCAACTCACTGGATGGTGTGACAGACTTGTTTTATTAAGATAGATCGTGTTGTTATTTCCATAAATAATAACATTACCTGTCCCATTGGAAATTTTCGTCATGTTATAATGTTCTTTGTTTTTCAAAGTATTTTGTCTTATAGGACTTATAGCATGATATGGTTTGGAAATTTTGGAGACCCCTTTAGTAAGAGTTAACAACATTTTGTATAATTTGTATTCACGGTTTCTATATTTGGTAATCCTTGTTTTTTTACTTCGTTCATTTTTTCCTTAGTCCCATCAATTTCTTTTAATATTGTTTTATTTTTTTGTATAGTCGTTTTATTCTTGGGTTCGTTAAAAAAAAAAAAAAAAAATTAAAAATTTTAATAATTTTTATACATTCTAAGCTATTAGTACTTACCAATTGCGTAATTGAAAAAATATATATTAACAGCCAAACTAGAAAATAATAACACTAATATGATATTTTTCATGTTCATTTTTTTTTTTTTTTTAATATCTACGGTATAATTGTCTACGGTATAATTATCTTCAATCTAAAAAGAAAATACGTAACAATATTATTTCCAGCAAAAAATTACTAGAAAAACATTATTATATTATATACTTACATCGATTATACAAGAATCCATTATTTCGAGCAAAACAAAATTTCGAAGAACGAATTACACAATGGTTATGTATTTAAATATTTGTTTAGCTTTGAACGTAACCAAGTATGATTGTTGGCTTTTGTTTGTTATTAGCCAGGTTACATAATATATTAAAAAAATATAATAATAATATAAAGCATTAATTATTTATAATTATAACCGATATTCGAGGCGGCCGTGTTGCCTATACGAGACTTACGATTGGCATTCGCAATAATCATCGACTAACGGTTCACATGTAGTGACTATAAGATTGTGTGCCACTCTCTTGTTATCAAAAATATAATATCCGATAATAAAATTCAATTACGTACATGACATATCGCCTTGAAATACCATTTCAAATCGACAGCTGACAATTGATTAATAACATATAAATAATGAGTTCAATGACTCGATGAATAAACATATAAATATTTACATTAGTATATAAAATATGAAAAAATAGAAACAAATAATAATAATATAAATTTAAATCATATGTAATCACAATTTTACGTAGACAATTCCAAAAAAAATAAAATAAAATTTCAGTTAACATGATGATTTATTGTATTGCTCATCTTTGACCTGCTCCATTACCCTCGAATAGCAAGGGGTACAAATTTCGCATCACTTACTTTCATTGACCGTGTCTCGTGCGGACGACAGCTACTCTCACTATTCCATTCGGGTTCGAGTGTGTTTCGATTACTCGACTGACTTTCCAATGTAGCGAAGAAAGATTATCCTCTTGGACTAGTACGATTGTGTCAATAGCGAGGTTCGGACCTTTGGACCGGCACCATTTTTCCCTTGTTTGCAACGTATTCAAGTATTCGTGCTGCCAGCGGTGCCAGAACTGTTGCGACAGTTATGTCACTCTTCGCCATCTCGTCAGCCTATTTAGAGGTGTGGTAGACATATCGCCCTCGAGTAACGCAGTTGGATTGTTAGTGTAAAGAAAGTGACCGGTCGTAAGGACAGAGAGGTTAGTCGGGTCAGAGAACATAGAAGTGATTGGATGTGAATTTAATATAGCCTCAACGCACACTAGCCGTATTATGGCCGAGTGTTTAAGACGAATTAGAATGCACGCAAATTACCTGCTAGGATTCCGATAAATGTATTTAAAATTAAATTGGCAAACGGTTTTTGTCAAACACTAAATTATATTATATTATTATGATAATATTATATGCATAGACGTATAATATATTAATTTTATTATCTCATCAAATTTTTCTGAGTTATTATACACCCACACTTAGCGGCTAACAGTATCATAAATAAATATTATAATATTTGTACAACATACTCCAATACCAGTTCTCTGTAATCCTGCTATAAATTTAATAATATTATTTATTTTTGTGTCTAATGTCTAAACTTAAAAATAGAAGTAAATAATTAGATAAATTATTTTTTGTATTTTTAATAAAATAAATAGGAAAACGATAATTTTTTTTTTTTTTTATGTATTTTATAAATTATTATTAACTTAAGTGCTCTTATACAGAAAACTTTTCCCAAAATTACAACAATATTAATTAGATGACAAACTATATTATTGATTGAGAAAACATAATATGACACATCCTTTAAAAATATAATAGAGAATATTGAAAAGTTCAAGGTGGGAGTTTCAAGTTTTTCTGCACTCTTGTAAGATCAATAAAACAAAAATTTATGAATACACAGTTATATCAATAATCACTGATTTACTCTATAAATACTTTAAAATACTTATACACGTGCTAATTTTTTTATTTTATGTAAATTTAAGTA